GGCGCCTGCATGGCTGGAATAACTCTGCAAGCTGCAGGCAACTTGGCCACGACCCTTTGCCAGGCACCCTGGGGCTGGCAGCCACCCCACTGCTCACCCTATAGAGCACAGAGGACCTGTTTGCTCCAGTGTGATCTGGCACAGGGAGCTGGAAACCATCCTTTCATCCTCTGTGGGCTTGAGGAAGGGCAGGAGATGCTCAGTAGGGGCACATAAAGACACAAAGGGATGAAGAGATCACGGCTGAGGACAGATCTGCGTCTCACACCACAGCATCCCAGGGATCCATGAGGACCCACAGGTTCGTGGCAATGGTTCGTGGCCCCTCTCCTTCAGACAGATCCTCCTGTCCCTGGGATGCTGGCACTCATGCAAATGCATGTCTCATGCCAGCCATGGCCAGGACCATACTGCAGAAGCAAGACCCTGGCTGTACCATGGGCTATGTACCCCAGGCTGGGGCGCACGCAGATTTTTTCCAGTTGTAGGGCCATGGGGCAGCTGGGTTTCCCCCAAGGAGCACACAAAATGCTTCAAAACTTCCAAAAGACTTCATTCTCAGGATCCCCTGCATACCCCGTGTTTATCTGCCTGTTTCTCTCTCTTTCTCTCTCCATGTCTCAGTCCCGCTCTGCTTTCATGCTTTTGAGGTCTTGCTATCCCATGCCCTTTACAGATCATGGTGCTAAGCCCATCACATGGAGCCTCTGCCCTGGCACAGCTCCCAGGTCAGACTTTGAACCAGAGAAAATGCACTGACACTTACTTGGGTTTTGGCTTTGTTTCACCTGCAAGTCCCCAGGAACAGGAGAAAAAGACAACGTTAGTATCACAGAAGGCATTTCCTTTCAGATTTTGACCCAAAACCTCTACTACCCCTCTTTCCCGGCAGCACAGGCTGCACTGTGGATCACCCTCCAGCAAAGAGGCATGCAATGAGGTGTCTGTGTGCCGAAACCCGGGACACATGTTGATGCTCCTGGCTGAGCAGAAAGGCGTTTGGTACCTCCTTATAGCGGTGAAGGGACAGTCCCTCCCACCCCAGAGAGAAACGAGGATGGATACTTCACCTTCCCCAGGCTCCTGCTCTCGGTCCCCCTCTCCACCTGTGGAAAACATGATGCTTTGGCTCCCGGAGGGCAGCCCTGTTGTGCACCCTGCCCACAGACACAGTGGGGTGGTTCAGCCAGGCTGTTCCCCTCTGCCCCATGTTTATCCCCACTGCAAAACTCAGCTCCATCCCTCCAGGAGGAATGGGGAGAGAGCAGGTTCGTCATGGACATCCCTCACTCACAGGCAGACTAGGAGAGCCCCAGGTCCTCTCCAGGAGGAACCCAAGAACTCAGGCTGGGAAAGCAGTAGTGCTGTCCTCTTCTGTATTTTGGGTGAATTTCTTACCTAGGCAGCACAAAGCCATCCCTCCTGCAGGCCTCCTCCTCCCGCCCCAGCCCGGGGGGAGGATGGGGCCAGGGCAGCTCTGAACCATTTACCGCAGCATCTCTCTCTTCAGCAGCAAGTGAATACAACACCAAAAATCCCCATTACAAGGGCCCAGTGTCTTGGGGGATTGGGATCAGGGCTGAAATGGCCAAAACGGTTTCTCCTCTGCTCCTGCTTTACCTTCTTCTGGTGCTCTCGTTTCATCATCTTGGTCTGTTTCAGAAGCAATGGGGAGAATATGAGCATCCGTGGGTAAGGGCAGTCACATCCCCCCAGCAGAGAGGGGTCCCAGCACCCTAACTCGGGGGGCACACTAGGATCCGAGCCTGCCCCACCAGCCATGACACACACCAAGGAACCCCGCCTGCTCCAAAGACTTTGGGACAACTCCCAAAGTTCAGTGCTCTTTGGATGGTGAGACACACCAGAGCATGACCCCAGCCCTGGAAATCCCCCTGCTAAGGCTACGGGGACCTCTTGGTGGAACAGGCTTAACCCATTTTTGGCATTATTTCAGAGTGCTGGACACAAACTGTTTGATCAGCAACCAGCAGAAAACATCATTATCCTCGCGGTTGCAGGGCCAAGGCATGCGGTAGATCAGGAAAAGGCAGCTCAGTTTTGACATCTTACTGGAAACCGCAGAGGTGGGGGAGAGCTGCCCCTCTGTGCTACTGGCCCACTGTCACGGGCCGTGCTGGGACGTCCCAGACCCTGCTAGGCACCCCACCAAAGCAGAGCATGGCTCCAACCGAGCCATGGGAGCTCGCTGGCGAAGCCACCACTCACCTTCTGCCGTGGTTTCTTCAGTCTCCTCCTCTGCCTCCTCTACCTGTTCTTCCTGACCTGTGGAATAAAGGGCAGAGTGAGTCCGACAGCCACAATTCCCGATGGCTCCCCACGGACCCCGGTATCAGGACAACTGTGGCACGGAGCCAGCTGAGAGAGAGATCTGGGGGAGACGTAGCCGCAGGAGAAAGAAGCAGCAGCTCGGAAAGCAAAGTGTTTCCCTCTAACCTTTGCCCAAAGGCTGCTCTCTGTGCTTGGGTAGGGCAAAAAAAAACCGAATTAAAGGGTTTATAGCCACCTCCTGGTTTGGCCTTCATTCCCTCTCGTACTATCGTGCTCTTATACCCCAGGATGGTGGGGAGTGATTTCTATTGCTTTCCTCTGGCCAGCAAAGAACAAGACTGGCGGGTACTAGGGGATGTGCCTTTAGCACCTTCGCAGTCTTATTTTGACACTGGACTGTCGGAGCATTTTCCCACTGGAGGGAGCAGCATCCCCACGAGAGTCCTCCACTGGAGTCAGAGCCATGATGGGGCCCAGAGGTCCCGGGAAGACTTATAGTCCCACAGCAGGAGAGAAGGAAAGACAAAGAAGCTAGCAAACCACAAGGGCATTTGGGCGATAGATGTAAGAGAGAAGCCACAGACACAGGAGCAGATACGCACAGCACAGCAGGGCAGGAAGGGGGGAGTGCAAGAAGAAAGAGAGAGAAGTGGAAGAATGAAAGAAAACCATTTCCCAACCAGGGAGAGGCAAAAGACACACCGACCCACGACATATTCACAGCAGCAGTGGAGAGATGAAATAAAGAAAGGTGCAATAACTACCGTCTTCTTCCTCTATCCATTCTTCCTCTTCTGAGCCAAGGAGGAGGGAAAGGAATAAGCGCAGAGGTTAGTCAAACGCCATAAAGCTGCGGAGCGTAGCTATGGCGTGCGTGAGACGAGCACTGTAGCACTGCAGTGGTTTCTCCCTTGAGCCCCTCTTTGCTTTTAACGTTCAGGGTGTTTTGCCATGCAGCAGCCCGCGCTGCCTGGCAGTGCCCTGAAGCAGCAAGAGGCTCAGCAAAGCCCAGCTCCCAAACCCAGCCCCAAACACACAGCTCAGCTGTGTCCCAGAGCGGCTGCATGCATCATGGGGTTTGCTTCTTCATCAGGCTGAGGCAGTTGGAGGTTTGTGCTTGAGCATCACTAATATACATTCAGCTGAGGCTCCAGCTCCCGCTGAGTTATTGGGCTCACACCTCTGCCAACGCCGGAGTCCAACATTTCCACCCCTGTTTGGAGTTAAGGGGTCACTCTGACAAAAGAGTTCCTAAGAAAATTCAGACTGATTTGGATCCTACTAATGTTTCAGGTGGAGAAATCTAGAACATGGTCTCATCTGCCTTTCCTGGACATGATTTGCCCATTGCAGACAAGAAGCTTACCACCAGAACCCACCCAAGCAAAACACTGAACCAACAGCACTTTTCTCTTGGTCCTTGCAACCACCGGTGAAACACCTACCTTCTTCCACGTACTCCTCTTCACAGAGCACACGTGCGCAAAGGAGAGAGGGAAGGGAAAGAAGACGCAGGTTATTGAACTTGCTGTGATCGTTTTTTAGCTTCAGCCTCAGAGTAGCTGCAGATGCTCCACGTCCTCTTACCTTCCTGCTCCCTGCAAAGCACAACACAAATTTGTGGAGTTACGGCGATCTGCTGCAACATGTGTGTCCATCAGTGAGGCCAAAGGGGAGCTTGAAATTTCCTCAAGGATGGCTCCCCTTTTTCATAGCAATGGGCAATGAGTGCTGGGCAGGCTGTTGTGTTGGCTCGCTGTAAGGTGGCCGTGGGGATGGGACAAGACCCAGATCACACTGCCGATAGCAGCAGCTGAAGTGCTCAGCTGACACTTCAACAGTGGTCAGAGCACAACATCATTTTGCAGATCGAGAAGATCGAGTGACCATGGCCTGTAATCCTAGAAATGGGCATTTCACATCCCATTTTTGCCCCAAAGTCCTTTCCTGACCTTGGGGGAGACGCACAGTCAGTCCTCGGGTGTGCCCAGGGGACCAGGGGATGCTGGACACAGGGGTCAGACTGATTGCCAAGACCTGCGAGTCAGCCCTGGCATTTAAACGTAAGAGAAGGATTCAGATCTACTTTTTCTGCTGGTGGATGAGAAGTAGGAGCTGTGTTTGGATCCCTATAACCACGTATTGCAGATATTGAGCTCCTTCTCTCCAGGGTGCACCTCAAGGCCCAGCAGCCTTCACCAGCAAAAGCTGCACTCAGATTTGGGCCTTGGGGAGTGATGCTCTGGATGTGGCAGTAGGACCCCATCAGCAAGAGGCTGATGACACCAGGTTTCCCCAGCTCTATCTCACTGATTTAGACTGCAGCATTTTTATTGCAGGGACTCTCCCTTGCCGTGTATGTGCTGATACAGCTCCTAATGCAAAACTCCCCGCTCCTGGGGCTCTCGGCACTATCACAGCAGCACTGCAGATGGACTCGGGGTGGGAGGATTTCATGCTGGGTGCTGGGGTAAGGATGAGAACCGGTGCCCCTCAAACGGCACCTCTAAGCCATATTGCGACCCTGTGGGAAAGTGGGAATAAGGAGAAAGAAAAGGTGTTTAAAAGCACACTACTTACTGCTCATATTCTTCAACGACCTCTTCAGAGTCTGACATGTCTGGTTATCTAGCAGAATTCAAGGCAGATTGGAAAAAGTGAGGGTTAGGAGCTGAGATAAGGACAAGCACAGCCTGTCCTCCAGTGCCCGAGACACAGGCACAGAGATGCTGCGTCTCTCCAAAGCGCTTGGAGCTTCAAGCTGTCCCCAGCCGGTCTGTGACAGCATTATCTGGGCAGAGATAAGGCTCTCCCCTCCCCTCCTGTCCCAGGATCACAGCTCGTCCCAAATAGGAGGCAGGAGATTAGACGCAGCCTCATACAACACTGATAACGGCTGTCAGGAGCCGTGTCCAGGACACGCAGCTCCCCTCGACGCAGCCATCTCAGGGTGCTGTGTTTGCTCAGGGCACAAGAAAATAACCTAATTATAAAGTTCAGCTTGTTTTGCTTCCTGACTATTCTTAGCTCACTTGGGATATAGAAACTTGCAGGGACGTCCCATTATCTCGAATTTACAGCCCTGCTCAAGCCATGGCATGAGATCTCGGTGAGCCCTCCCAGCCCAGCCCTCCAAGCGCAGAGCGTGCTCTGGAAAGGGGAGGTCTGGGCTCAGCAGGAGCGTGTCTTTCCTAGTCCTGGCCCTGAGACTGAGGTTAGCTAAAAGGAATAAATCACAGCCTGGTTTAGCAATAGAGCTAATAACCCTGCAGAAAAGGCCACGCTCATCTTCCCAGCACTCCCATCTCCCTCCCAGCTGTGGTCAGGAGGACTTTACTCATCATCCCACCTCGTCTAGCTTCCACCCAATGCTCCACCAACGCATAGACCAGCTTCACAATCAACCCCAACCCTGGGCATCCCAGAGCAGCCCAAAGCATCAGCCCAAGCCCCTGCACAGCCTGTCCACCCCTCACGTTCGTGCCAGACCTCAGCAAAGCTGAGATGCAGCAGGACAACGCAAGGCAGCTCTAGAAATAACTTCCATGTGCTAAACCACCTGTTCCCAGAGCAGCATCGCTTCACTTCTCCTGCCAGGCGTCTGGGAACAACTGGTCCTGGCTACATCTGTTGAGCATTTATTACCCCGGATGGGTAGGACAGGCTTCGGGATCGCTTAGTCAAGATGCTGAATCCAGGACTGGAATCCAGAAGCACGGGAAAGACGCATTACAGGAGGGGTGCCTCTGCATACCCATGGCTCCCGGGGGGTTGTCGAATCTCACTTCCGAGCAATGACTCAGAAAGTGCTTTTTGGAGACAAATGAAGTCAGAACTCAGCCCCGTCTGTCTCGGGTTCACCGGCTGCTTCTGCCGTCACCGTTTCCTTCCCTCTGATGGATCTGGGGCTTGGTTCTAAGCACCCCCCTCCAGCACCATCCCCTCGATCTCAGCTCCCCCTTGAACATCAATTCCTGACCCTGCTTTTCCCCCAGGCTCAGCACTGTCCTGCTACCCCCAGAGTTTGGCCAAATCATTTATGTGGTCTCTGAGCACCCAGGACTTCATGTGGTCCTCTCACGACAACAAGAGCTGAGACTTCCTCTTGGCCATGACAGAGCAAACTTGCATTTGCAAAAGCTTATTTCTACATTTCCATTCACCTCCTTTCATACATCACTAGATCCCACAGAACATTTGCTGAGGAACAGCAGCAAAACCAGGCCTGTTAAAGGAGTACGCAAGAAAAAAAGTGGTTCTAGGAAATATTTATCTATCCTCAGCAGAGAAAAAGATAAGCTTTTCCATTAAACCTTTGAAATTTTGTTTTGAAAGAATCAGGAGAACCCAGCAGACGTATTACAGAGTTAAAGAGGAAACATTGTACATATTATTGACTGCCAAAAACCTCCCATCATTTGCTGTGTATTAAATAATCCAGATATCTCTCCCACTCCTTAAAATCCTCCTCTCCATTAGCTAAGGGCTGGTTGATCACACACCTGGGGCTGGGTTTACCTCCGTGATTCACAGTCTCTGCTTTCCTCCAGGTGACCCAGACAAGGAGCTCTCATTTCCCAGCATTTGCTGCAGCGCGGGTCACGTCGCTGCTCCCTTCCTGCTTGGCAGGGTCAGACCATGCACAGGAGCATCCCACCTCCAACCCATCCTACGGGCTGCCAGCGAGCCAGGGCCACCTGGCCCGATTCTCCCACGGGCATTGCATCCCTTCTATCCCCTCCGGAGACACAGGGAACAGGGATCTAGGAGATTCCCCTGGAACCAGGGCAGCCAAAATCCTTCTCAGTCACCTTGGCACACATCAGGGTGGTTAAAAAGGTGTTGGGCAAGTTGCAAATACAACCCCCTGGAGAGGGTCCTGATGCTTGATCCATGGGAATGCCTTCATGGCAAAAATACATCCCAGTGCAGATGGCTGGGGAGGACCAGTAACCCTGAGCCAAATCACTTCTGGGTTTTTAACAACTGCCCTTCCGCTGAGCATCCTACGCCAAGAGCGGGCCCCCCCGCTGCCCCAGCCTTACCTCTGCCACGGGGCACCGGTGAGACCCCAGGGAGCCGAGGGGAAGCTGGCAGGCGTCTGGGAAATGCTCTTTGGGGGCAGGAGGATTTAAGGGGGCTCCAGCGCCCACCCCGGGGCGGGCAGCGCCGGGAGGAATGTGCCCGGCGCCCAGCGAGGAATGCAACACTTGTGAGCTGCTATTTCAGCAGCCGCAACCCTGGCCCCCTCCGCCGCTCCCCCTTCCCCCCCAGGAGCCCATATAAGCCCAAGCTATTGTGTGGCCTCACAGATTTGCTATTTTAAACCCTCCGGACTGAGATACGTGAGTGCCCAAGGGGCTGACACAAGCCAGCCAGCTGTCACCTTCTAGGGCCGGGGACACTGATAAGGCAGCGCTGCCGTGAGCGGAGGACCAGACCCTCCATCACAGCCCCCGACCTGGGCTTGCTTAGCCGCTGCACCAGGTCCAAGATGCTGCAATAAGAAGGGAAGAGTCTCAGACTGCTTTTATCCCCTCCCCAGGACACTTTTGTCTAGGGTTTTTGCCTTTTTTCCTCTTGCTAGAAGAAGGGAGGCAAATGGTTCACAGTCCCAGCCCAGGAGCAGGTGACCAGGAGCATCTTAGAAAGAGCAACTTTTATTAGATAAAAAATAAAAGGCACAGAGAAAACCAAGTCCTTTCCGAGGCCCAGCAAGCAAGATCAGATCCAGGGGCAGGAGTAGAGTCACACACTGAATTTGGAGACCACAATGGTTGCTCAAGGCACAGCGCTAGCCCATTGAATTGCTCCAGCACAAGGATTTGAGCATCATTTTATGGGCTGTCCATGGGACCCTAAAGCTGGCCTCGAGAGAGCACCCCGCTTCCCTGCTGGGTGGGCTCAGCAGCCTGGAGAGTGCAGAACCAGGGGTCTGCACAGCCACAGGCAAAGGGCTCAGGCGGAAGGGCGAGAGGGAAATGGGCTTTGCAGAAGGGGCCCAGCACAGGACACTCAGCTCCATGCAACCCCAAAACCAGCCCATCCATCCCATATCACTAAGTGAAAGGGGTCACTGCTTGTAGGGGGCAGGGGATGGCGAGGACAGGGTGGAGAAGTCTCTGGCCCTGGCTCAGCTGCGTGCTGGAGGGAAGCACCAGGGCCATCAGGTCCACCCTTCTTCCATGAGGCATCTCCAAGCTGCACCGGCTGCACTTCGCAAACATCGTTTGCCTTTGGTTGGGTCCCTCCAGCAGTGACAGCCTGGGAGTGGGGAGGGGGTGACATCTGCCTACCCCATCACCCCAGACGAACCAGGCAGCAGGAGTGGACATGGTCCATGGACGTGCAGCTGAAACTCCCTTGGCCAGGCAGCTTCTTGCCCCAGTGACAACATCCAGCTGCAGGGCAGACATATAGGCTGATCCTCTTTGCAAGCACAGTTATGGTGCACAGGCAGAGATTAGGAGCAAAACACCAAAATATTGAGGGGAAACGAGGCAAGAGTCTGCCTTCAGTTTTTGCAAGGAGTCTTCGGGCCTGGGCACTCCTGGACAGACAGCGAGTGAGGACTTGGGGCACAGGGATAATCTTCCAGCCTTCTTCCTTCCCATCTCACAAGCAGAGGACCCCGGAGACCCGGGGTGCACCCATACATTGCGCAGGGGACTCTCATGGCAGTGGGCTGCTGGATGGTTGGGTAGGGCTGGGTTTTGATCTTCAGAGTAGAACAGTTTTTCCCAGATCATCTGATATTATTACAACTGATATTATTACAACTGGAAAAGAAAGTGAGAAACAGTGAGGTCAGGCCTGAGGCTGCAAACCCCCAAAAGACAGTTTCAGGACTTTAACCAGGACCATACTTGCCCCGAACAGGGGATGGGGCAGGCAGGCATCCCCTAAATCCCACCACATGCCACTTCCCTTCTTCTCCCAGACCAGATTCTTACCCTTACAGTCCCCCCCTGCAACTTCCCCAATCCATGGGGTCCTGGATGTCCCACATGAGCCCTCTCCCCCCATAGCCTGGTTCTCTCACACCTGCCCTGTTGGTGATGCACCAGCAGGCAGGTCCCAGCTCTGTCCCTAGCTCAGAGGATGAACCAGTATTCAGAGCAGCTCCATGCCTACCTTGGGGTCTCCAGGGGTGTCTTCAGGCTGCTTTACCCAGACATCATGGTTTGGCAGACTGTTTATTTTCCTGATGTCCTGCAAACAGGAGAGTTGTAAGTGGCACAAGAAGGTTTTCCCCATGCATCGTGTGCAGTGTTGCCTTGGTGTGACTTTAACCAAACCTTGAAGCATACATGCTCCAGGTAAAACCAGACAGCTTTGAGATCCTGCACCTGACAGACCCTCAAAACCAAGCACATCTCCAGCCCACAGAAATGGAGGGCAGCAGTCGTTATTATAGGAAAAACTGACAAAGGAGCTGCAAGCTTTACCCAGGAGTGACCCCAGGAGCAAACCCTTTCCTGGCAGACACAGAGCCAGCACAGCCTCCCGGTACAGACACGTTTGGGCAGTGCTAATCCCTCCAGCTCAGCACTGGGGGTGCCCGGGCTTGCCCGCCCAGGCTGCAGGGCTGGGCTGGAGCTGCCCCTCCTGGTCCTGT